CAAAAGCTTTTTTTTTTTTTTTAAAAAAAAAAAGGCAGTGGGCAAGAGTGGGCACAGCGGGCAGCAGTGGGCACAACTTTGCGCTAGTTTTGCCTGCTTCTACCAGACAGGCCATGGACGTAGTATAACGTGGAGAGGAGGTTTCACATAAATTAAAAAGATCAGGTAGACTAAGGTGGGGCGAACAGTATTCCTTTTGAAGACTCACTTTATCTTAGTGTATTCCATTCTTATGTTTAACTTTGCTTACAAATTGGGGTGGCAGATGATGAGAAAATGATGTCTTGTAAAAGAGATAAATACAAACTAAAATTTACAACTTCAGGAAGTGGAGGAACCAGTACTCCCGAAAATATCTTTACCCATCAGTACGACGTCGTTGCCTCAGTTCAGTTTTAGTTCTCTTACCAGCAACGCTGTCTCATCATCACCAAGCACTGTTTCAACATCAGTGATGAACAAGGTAAGTCTTTCTTGTGTTAGTATGTGTTAGTATTTCTTGGGATTAGTATGCATGCGCTGCTTTGCATGCTGAGTTGTTCAAGGGCACTCATGAAACTAATCGGGATCAGTTTATATCCAGTTGCGTAAATGAGGGTTGATTTGTATTTCATTTAGGGGGAGGAAATGTATAGATCAGAAAAAAAAAAAAAGCCAAGCAGTTCAATTGTGAAACAGCTTCTCTCCATCTTATGCTTTGCAAAATTTTGGTTAATGTAGTAACATGAATGTTTCAAATGCTGTGGAAATTTTGTTAGGATTTTTATGCCAAGTTATTTAACAAATTAGAGGTAGTCTTAATGGTCATATAAGCCTCATGTGATGGCCATTAATTGGAATATTATTGAAATAAAATATACGTTTGAATTATTTGTGTATATTTTGAAGTAGGTGTCTGCTTTAATATGTTGAAGTATTTGCTGCCACCCTTTGACTTAAGTTCGCTCAACTCAATTGACCTGAGATTAAGGTTCTTAAGCTGTCTACTTTTCTATATATTTAATAAATTTAGAACCGAGTAGCATCTCAGTCCTCAATCTTCGTTTTGTGTTTTATGCCATTTGGTTTTGAAAATGGTCTACGATATACTCATTTGCAAACTTCATTTTGTATTACTGTGTTTCTTATATGTAGATTTGAAATAAACCTCAAACATGAGATTTCAGAACTTTATGAGATAGTAAATTTGGGTAGTTAATATTGTTAACATTGTTTCATTAGCATGTTTTTCCTTTAGATACAAATCTTAATTCTTTCGAAAATACAGGTACAACTAGTAAGTAATGCTGGCAGTCCTGTGTTCAGATTTTCATCTCCAATTGTAAAATCTACTGAGGCAGAAGTGCTACCTCCATTGTCTGTAAGTAAATGTTGTAGAAGCTTAACTCTTTTTTTTTAGGGTCTTAGAATATTGCAGAGCAGTAAAACAGGGTTGGCTCTGTAAGGGAAAAACAAATAAATAGTTTACTGGTATATGATTTGTTACTCAGCATGTATTCATTTACATGCTGAATAGCATTCATGCACATGCAGCATTTACATTCAGCATCTAAAGCTGAAAGTTTAAAGACAGATTTCAGTTTTAGGTTTGTGTGATTAAAATTTATTTTGTGTCAGAAAATGAAAACTTGCTCTTTTTTTTTTTTTTTTTGCAGCAGCAGATTGGGTTTACATTTAGTGTTCCTGTTGTAAAATCAGCAGAGCTTTCTGGATCCATTGATACTCCAGTGACATCCCTACTTACCCTAGGTAACTGAAACGTTAGCATTTCAAATTGGAAGTGTTAAATTTGTGAACTGTAGATACTAAATATGTTTTTCTGTGAGCATGTTGGCAGTTTCAGGAAACAAACGCATGCAATTTCATGAGCTTCAAAAATGATAAAGGTGACACTTTTTTTTTAACAGTGTTGCTATTAATTTTCAGTTGTGAGTTGACCTTAAATTGTCAATGGTCAAAATAGATTGTATATGCCCTAGAAAATAAAATATTTTTTAATCGCTGCAAGTACAAAGTTCTGGATGTCTGTGGTATTTTTCAGGACAGGTCTGCTTTTTTTTTCTTGCAAATATGTTGTAGAAATTCCTAAAATTAAGGGTGTGAATTGGAAATTCTGCTTTCTAGAAAATGCAAATATATTAAATGGATTGCTATGTGAAAGACCTTTTTCTTTCTTTTTAAAGAAACCACCACTGTAAACAGCACCAGCAATAAGAAGGAAGAAAACAAAGAAGAGTACGATGGCCCCTTCAAACCTGCAAAAGTCTTAAAGGAAGGGAGTGTGTTAGATATTCTAAAAAGCCCTGGTGAGATGATGAACTTACTTTTTAAAAGACACTGCTTAAAGCATGTTAGCTGTAACGACGCATGTAGGAGTATATTGCATAAGCACTGCATCTGTTAAGATGGGTCAGCCCCTTCTGCCATAAGTAGCTTATAATGCTGGAAGGAAAACTGCAACTTCAATAACAAATGGATTGCAGCTCCTATTCTATTTATAAATAGAAATGTAAGGAAAGTTTTTGTAAAACTCAGTACCTCTCCTACCTTCACCAGCCTGATGAGGAAGGCAGGGAGGGAATAGTTTTGTTCCTAGAGAGATGTCAAAAGCTGCAAATATTTTGACTTCTTGTTAAAAAAAGTTGTTATGAGGTATATTTTAAATATGAAACAGAGTGGGATGTTGCACTTCAGCTTCTGTTGTGTCAGGATGTTTTTCTGATGAAGTGACAAATACTTCTTAAGAATATGGCACAGTTTTGTATCAGAAAGAGCTAAAGGAGAGAAAATACATACTATATGCATTTGGTTTATGGAAGGCCTATGAGGTGGCAAATAGTTTCCCATTTTCACAGAAATAGGATCTAAATCCACATTGCTCAGAGACTCATTTTTTTTTAATTCATCTTAAAAGTAAATAGAGCTACTGTTCAAGATGCACTGCCTTAATGCACTTTTGAGTGTTTCAGTATTAGTAGTTAATACTTTCTGTTAAAGTTAGCACCTTTAAATAGGATGTGGCTTGTGTGTGGTGCATTTTGAACGGAGATTTGTAGAATAGAAGGTTGCTAGGTGCTTTGTCCTGCCCAATTTTTGTTATTCAATGTTCAGCGTCAGTGGGGAAATGCGCTCTGTATAGCTGCTCCAAGCCCAACCTTCTGTGTGATTGCTGAAGTAAAAGTGAGACACCTGCTACAGCAGAAATAGCTTCACAAATTTGATTTGAGTGGGCATAGCACTTTAAAATGAAACTGGACCATTCTATTCATGGCTGCGATAGCTGTCCATGCTGTTGAGCAGCGTGTCCAGCAGTGAAGGTTTTTGCTTTACACTTTCTGGGGAACCGAGAGGTAAATGAAGCTCTAAATGTTCTGTTGTGCCCTGATGTCGCATATGAAAATTCACCCCCCAAGACAAGATTTCCAGGGGGTTCCTGTTGGTGCTTGGTCAGAACATGTTAGTAATTCTCTTCCTGGCTGCTCATTTCTAGGCTTTGCTGCTCGGAAGCCCGACGCCTCCACGGCCGCCCAGCCTGTTACCACGAGCCCGGTGGTCTACACTAGGCCCGCGATAAGCAGCTTTTCTGCGAGTGAGGAGAGCTCCCCACAAGCCCCGTCATCTTGGCAGTCTGATACGTGCGACCCATGTCTGCAAAACAAGGCCCCGGAGGGCAAGTGTGGAACTTGTCAGGCGACTAAAGCACCGGCAGCGGAGAGCCCCAAACAGGCGGTGGGCTCGAGCCCCAGCAGCATCTCCAAGCCCACGGGTCCCCCGGCAGCGCCCCTGGGCTTTGGAGACAAATTCAAGACGGCGCCTGGCACGTGGGACTGCGACACGTGCCTGGTGCAGAACAAACCCGAAGCCACCAAATGCGTCGCGTGCGAGACACCAAAGTCCGGCACGGGAGTGACGCCCGCTCTGACGCTGCCAGCGGCCATGGACACCTCGGCCACAGTGACGTCCTCCTCCAGCAGCACCGAGCCCACGGTCACTCTGGGCTTTGGAGACAAGTTTAAGAAGCCCAAGGGCTCCTGGGACTGCACTGTGTGCTTTGTGCCCAATAAGGCAGAAGACAACAAGTGCGTGGCCTGCGAGTCTGAGAAACCAGGTGCGTGAACGGGAATTACCTTCCCCCCAGCAGCTTTTGCCTGTGTAATCATCATCCAGAGCAATAAGGGGGAAATCTGGCATCTGGAGTCGCACTTGAGCACTCACAGGGGTGGCACTAAAGCTGTCTGAAGTGTTGCACCGAGTGATGTCTCCTTCCCTGCAGGGGGGAAGAGCCCCAAGAAAAGTGCTGTCTCTTTGGGGCCTCCTTATGGAGGCTTCTGCAGCATCGCTCATGTAACTGGACACAGAGCCTGGGATTTGGGAGCCTCCAGTCCCTTGCCTGGGTCTAGTTGCGGTGCAGTTTTGAATGGGTCTCTCTTTGGAGTGGCCAGTGAATCAGTCCACTAAACTTGCGACCTCTCGTCACTGTACAGTGACTGCAAGTTGAGGAATGTAACACTGACGAATAGTCACAGCTGTCAGCAGCAGCGTGTAGCTTAGTTGAGTTTGGCACCTTTCCTTTATGCCTGAAAAGGAGCCGAGTTGCTGAATCATGTGAAACGCTTGCTGTTAAAGAGTGTCATTGGTTCCATTTGTGCTTAAAATCATAGAATAGATTAAAAAGAAGAAATGGAGGATTTCTATTACATTCCTTACGTTCTTGGATTAAGTTTGACTGAAATTGCTTACTTGACTTCCTACTATAGTACTTGGTCCCCTTCAAAACCTAGCAAGCATATAAGACTTCCTCAGAAGGTTTGTGTTCACTTTACTATTTGAACAGGCTGGTAAACCATTTTCCTTATTGCTTAGGGAGCTCAGTGCCTGTGACCAGTAGCAGTGTTTCTGCCTTTTCTGCTGCTTCTGGTGGATTGCTGGATTTGGAGAAATTCAAGAAGCCTGAAGGAAGCTGGGATTGTGAGGACTGCTTCGTCACAAACAAGCCAGAAGCCACAAAATGTGTAGCCTGTGAAAAAGCAAAGCCAGGCACCAAAGCAGAGCTCAAAGGTAATAATTTATTGAGGAAAATGAGTGTGTGTGTTTTGTGATACTTTGTTTGTTTAGTAGTACTGTGCTTGCAGTTCCCTGCCCAGAGCAAACTTGTGCTTTTTAGAGAAAAGCTTCGATAAAGGACATACTAGTGCTTTATATTCCTTATGTTCTGCTAATCTGAAGTTTAGATTTTATAAACAAAAAAAAAAAACCTCATCTTTCAAACAATTAAAGTATTTTTTTAAATCAGGGAATGGGCAAAAGAATGTCCTGGTGAAAAGATGAATGTAAAGCAGAGTTTTGTGTGAGGGGAGCGCATTTTATTTGGGAGTTGAGGTTTTTGGTAAAATACTTTTGACTCTGGGAAATTTTGGATCAGAACCACACATGTATCACAGATTTAACTTTGCTGCTGCTTTTGCAGGGTTTGGTGCTGCTCCTGTGTCCTCAAATGCTGTGACACCATCATTTACATTCGGTATTCAGTCATCGTCCTCTGACTCTGCTCATACATCAGGTAGCCCAAGAAATTTTGCATTTAGAGAACAAGGGAGCTTCAAGTTTGGTATTTCTTCTGAATCTGCATCCTCCAACACTGGGACTGAGGGGTTTAAGTTTTCTAGCAGTTCAGGGGACTTCAAGTTTGGAGTTTCTTCCTCAGACTCCAAATCAGACGATGTTAAGAAAGAAGAGAAAACCAACACTTTTACCTTTGGACTTCCATCTACAAGCAACCAGGCTCCTTCAACGTTTCAGTTTGGGACAAGTAGCCTGGGACAGCAGGAAAAGAAAGAGGAACCAGTCTTGGGAGGCTTCAATTTTGGCACAAGTTCTACTTCTTCCATAGCTCCTACTGAGAATAAGACAGGAGTCAGTGGCTTCAACTTTGGAACCGTGGCAGAAAAGGAGGTTGCATCGGCTTCTTTTGCATTTAAGAAGTCTGATGAGAAGAAGGATGAAACTTCTAACACGAAGGCAGGCTTTTCTTTTGGCAATGTGGAGTCCACACCTTCCTCGCAATTTGTTTTGGGAAGGACAGAGGAGAAACAGGACTCTGTCACTTCTGCTGCTACACTAGTGTTTGGAAAGAAAGCTGACAATGAAGAGCCAAAGGTGCAGCCTGTCTTTTCATTTGGGAAGCCTGAGCATACCAAAGAAGAGAGCACCACAAAATCTACATTCAATTTTAGCTTCATAAAACCATCAGGGAAGGAAACTGAGCAGGCAAAGCCAGCTTTCACATTTGGGGCACAAACCAGTACTTCAGGTAATAGGATGTCTTTTGTTTTCACTTTGCATATATGTATCAAACAGTACCTCTGAAGCCATGTGAGACCCAATGGATTTATGGCATTTGATGTATTAATGCCTAGAGCTTTGGAAAAGGTTTTACTCTCTGCAGTGTGTTTGTCATTACGGTTGTTGTTGAGTTGACAATTTCTAGCAATTCCTTTCTAGATTTCAGTGAGCTTTAAAGGTGGGTTAAACAAAAAAATCCCCAGTCCTCAAAGAACCGATATTATGCCTTGTGTGAGCACAGAAGTTACTGTCATTTCAATGGTGACAACATGGTTGGGGATAAAATCTTCAGTATGGTGCTGTACAGAGGCCTTACTCCATATTTTTTTCATAGGGAAATGGGATGAGGGAAAAGAATATTGCTGTGTAATTGCATCTGTGCTACAGAATGTACTACTCCAACTCCACTGTTACAACAATATAGATATGTTTAATAGATTTAATCGTGCAGGACTTAATTTCATTAATTTGATGAAAGACTGCAGTGGGAAATGAAATTTCTTTAGTGACGATCACTGTGTGTGAAACTAGTTGTTAAATTCCATGATGTCTGCTATTGACAGCCTTTTATAAAGCATAATTCTCTATAACTTTGGAAGGTGTATGGAAGCAGGCAGTTGTAAGTGACCCTGAATAAAAGTAGTGCACAGGGTTATACGGATTCTAATCATAGTAACTATGGTTGAACTGCTGCTGAACGAATACATTTGGGGAGGACTGAGGGATTTGGGAGAGGGAAGATCGATGGATTTTTTTTCTCCTTCAGTTACAGTTCCAGAGTTTGGTCTAGTCTTAGAAATATGATATCAATGCCCGTGTAAGAGGAAAATTTGACAAATGTTCTTCAAAATGGTATAGTTGTATAGTTCTCTAAAAATGGGGTAGTTGAAAAGGTGCCTTAACTGCTGGAAAAAAAGTTCCTGGGCAAATTAGCAATGAGAATTGGACAGAGGAGCAGCTTAGGAAAAGCTGAGGAAGGCTTTATTTAAAAAGCAATTCTCAGTTCTCTTGAATGGTGTGATCAGTGCTCCAGAGCAGTGCTCTGGAGAGAGATGTTTCAGTTGCTTTTAAAGGCAGGTCTTGAAGGTTGCTGAAGTAGCTCGAGCTGGAAGAATGAGGCTGGAGGGCAGGAAGCTTTGCCAGGTTTAGAGCTGTAGGAACAGGGCTGCATTTTCAGAGCAGGCTGCAGTAACGCTGCATTCAGGCGATTGATGTGACTGGATGTTTCAGGTGATTATTCCAGGTGAATAACTTCCAAAGCACTTTTTTTTCCCAAAAATTTTCAGTGCTGGTTCAGATGATTCTAGCCTATATTCATAACCAACAAAGCCCAGACCTCAGTAGTGTCCCTGTTTTTCATAGTTGTTCCATTCCTTTAATTGTGGACGGGGTTGGCAGCAAGGAGCATGTGACAGCTGGATTTTGTGCGAGCGCCGGGGCGGCCGCGTTGTCACTGGGCGCTGCTGTTGCAGGGCTCTGCTCATGCCTGCCCTTTCCACGGTGGTTTATGCCCTGTCCTTCCCTGCAGACCAAGGAGCAGCAAAACCGGCCTTCAGCTTCTTGAGCTCCAGCTCCTCCAGCCCGGCTCTGCCCACATCCTCAGCCAGCAGCAGCAGCGTGTTTGGCAGCTCCACGGCTTCCTCGAACCCGCAGCCCGCGCCCGTCCCAGCTCCCTATGTGTTTGGACAAGGCAGCAGCACCGTGAGCAGCTCTGCTTTTGGCAATTCTGTAGAATCCGCAGCGACTCAACCGTTCGGCTTCTCCCAAGAAAGCAAAGCAGCGACCACATCCTCAAGCACCGTCGCGGCCGTGGCTCCCTTTGTCTTTGGATCTGGAGCCAGCAGTAGCAACGCAGCGAGTTCTGGCTTTACCTTTGGGGCCACGACGACAAGCAGCTCAACAGGTACATTTTAAGTAGTTGTTCTTCTCTGCTTTTACCGTAACAGCAGGATACCGAGGAAATACTGCTGGATGAATAATTTACTTTGGAGATTTTTAGTAAGTAAAAATTAATAGGTACTCTTCATGGGAGTTGGTTCTTAAGGTGAATGTTACCACAGTAATTTGGGTCTAGACAGCCTTGGTGTTTGAGATGGATGTTGTGTTACTCTTGTAGGCATGCTGGTTTTTGTGTTACTCAGAGGAAAAGGTGCAATTCATGCTACAGTTGAGGTAGCATTTATTTTACCTGCTGAGGTAAACTATGATGGGACTTTGGGATGGGATCAGTATTCAGGTACCAGAGCTGGAAAGCGAGGTCTAAAACCTTTGTTTCAGGAACAGATAGATTTATCCTTGGGGGGGAGAAAATTAAACCTGTCTGCTGAAACGTCTGCCCTTTCTCCCAAGGGTCGTCCTCTTCGTTCGTGTTTGGCTCCGGCTCCTCGGCTCCGCCCGCCGGCCCAGCGTTTGGCACCTCTCAGCTGCCCGCCTTTGGCCAGAGCCAGGGCTCCGGCCAGCCGAGCGCGCCGGCCTTCGGCTCGGGGGCGGCCTCTGCCACCGGTGAGTGCCTGTCCTGCCGCCCCTGCCCCTCGCGGCGCTGCTTCCATCACCGCGCGCCTCAGGCTTGTTCAGGTGGAGGGTTTTCTTGTGTGCTGCCTGAGCGTGCAACCTCACAGGTGGTACAACCTCCAATACTTAAAGCGGAAAAACTTTTATCTTTTCCCCTCAGAAGCTTTACAGTAACAGTCTATTAAAAGCAACCTAAGTTTCTGCTAATCACGGGATAGTTGGTACGCTATGTTCCTGGGTCATGCTTTCCCCAATCAGGTAGCAGTTTGGGGATTGTCTGTGTTACTTAACAGTTACTTTGGTGGGATAAATTTAGAAGCTTGTTTTGATTAGGTGTAGTGCGAGCACATTAAATAACACGGAGGTCCCAGATCAACCACATTAACACATGGATGTTTATTTAAATATCAAATCTGCATGAGTCAATACTGTAATTTAAGACATTATTAAATAAACAGTAAACTTGAGTGTACACAGGTGAAAACCTTATTGTTGTACCAAAATAAGCAAGCAGTTCGTTAGCAGTCTGCCAGGACTTTAAGACTTTAAGAATCCCTTTATGATCCTCTATGAAATAAATGAATTTTTTTCTATGCACAGATCCTCTAGTAATCTGGTTACTTCTGGTAATTTCTACTACAGTCAACCTTCAGCAATTTGTTGTCTTGAACAATCTGTAAAAACATTTGTTAAAGGCAGTGGGAAACACGTGGTGATTTTGCTGGGTTTGAAGCACTTGGACTTTTTACTTTTCCCTTTCACTCCCACCTTGTCTCCCCAGGTCCTGTATTCCAGTTTGGAAATAGTGCTACTAATTTCAGCTTCCCGAACAACCCCCGAGTATTTACGTTTGCTGCCAACCCTGGCACGCCCACAGCACCGGCGCAGCCTTCTGGCTCTTCAGGATTTTCCTACAACCAGCCTCCAGCATTCACAGTGGGGTAAGACTGCGGCTGAGGATGGGGCACGGGTAGGAGACGGGCAGAGAGGGGCAGAGGCCGAATCAGGATTTCTCTCGAGCTCGGGGCAGTGACGGCTGGACAGTGAGAGCCTCTCGTGCCGCTCGCCTTGGATACCTGGGAATTTCGGTCTAGGCTTGGCGTCCTTCCTTGGCATGTTTGCTGACTTAACAAACCAGTGTTGCTTTTAAAGGAGTCTAGTTCTCAGAAACACCGTGCGCCTGCATATGTGAGACTTTCTCATTCCTGAAAATGTGTGTTTATTCTTTTTGCTGCTGCGCATCCTCCGCATGAGAGGTGGTTGCTCTCTGTTTCTGGAACTCTCTTCCTGTTTAGCATTTGCCATTGTTTGCCACCTTGCTATCTTAGTGAGACAGACTGTAAGAACCTTTCTGGATTGTGTACTCGGTGTAACTGATGAATTTTCAGCTATGCTGTCCTAAACTGTGAACTACTAATTTCTTTTGATAGGACTAACGGCAAAAATATGTTCTCTGCCTCTGGATCTTCATTTTCTGGCCGGAAGATAAAGACTGCAGTTAGACGTAGAAAATAATCGTCCTGATTGGTAAAGCAACTTTGGAAAGAGCTGCTACCCTGCATCCCCACCATGGTTCTGCTGTTGGGATTGTACCTCATGCTGGGTTAGCTGAAGCCAGATCCGCCGAAAGGAATATAAACCTCTGCTGCCCTTCCCTTCCCCTATCCATTTAGTTCTTTTGGTAACGAGTAGAGTTGGCAACAAGGCCATTCTCGAGCAAAACTATTTTAGAATCCAGCAACTTACTTCTTTCCCTGACTTGGCATGGTCTGGCTATAGACACGAGTATAGCCCGCACAGTGAATGGCTTGTACGATACCTCTTCATCTGCACCCCTGTGTGCGCTCACCTGCATTTACTGACGCCTCGAAATTGTAATTATACCAGAGAGGGGGGCTGTATAGAGTAGAGAATGTGGGTAACGAATGATTTCTATGCCGAGTTTGTGCTGGTGTATGTGTGAAGTGAGTGAGTTTGGGTGTATTGTGCACTAAAATTTTCTGATAGAGGAAGACTGATTAAAGGATGATCCATGCTAAGGACTTGTTAGATCTGTAGTTCTCCATTTAATAATTATATGCTATTTCTATATTTTCATTCTTACAGCCCTTTATCACCTGTCTCGCCTTTGTTATTTTATTATGGAACATGTGTAAATACAATTTTGTTTCTCTATGTACTTTTTGGCATAACAAATCTGTGAAATTGAAATTTTAATTTTGTGTGTTACGGCCATTTTTGTTTAGTATTGTCTCAGATTTTATTATGTAAATCCCATTATTCAAAGTTGCCTAAATCCATTTAGAAAATCTTTAAAATTGGGAATTCTTAAAGTAAGTTTATTGGCTTTTCTGATCCATTTTTGTTTGGACCAAAAACCAGTATTGTACAAAGTATTAAGTATATATTTTTATATTTACTGAAATGGACTGTGGTGACTTTGGATAATAAGGAAAAGTTTAATATTAAAGCCATGTTTATTACAGTATAATTAACATGTTAAACCATGGGATAAATGCCATCAATAAAAACTCTGAAATATTGTCTGGCATTTTTAACTCCAGATGAAGGCAGTGGTAGCTGTAATTGTACAGGACGAGGCCCTCTATGTGAGCAGGTTGCAGGTTTTTTTACAACCACTGCGTTGTTGTAGTGATCCTGATGCTGCTTTTAGGGAAACCTTAAATTTCTGGGACATCCCTGCCAGTGAAGAAGGCTTCACTATATCCTCAGTTGGAACCACTTGTCTGTATCTCAGCTGTCTAGCTGCAGTTGTTGTAGGTCATTTTTAGAGCTTTTTTTAAAGGACCTCCATCTTACTGACATTCACTAGCACTCTCCCTGTAAAGGACAGAGTACACAGGATTCCCAGGGAATTGCTCTCCCCCTATTACCACACGTGTTAGAGGAATTTCTTAGCGGTTGTTACGCATGTAGTGCTTTGAGGGTTGCTCTTGTTGGGGTGTTGAGTCAGATGTGGTTGCAGTAGTTAGTGCTGCTCAAGGGCTGGTCACTGGCTGCAGTTACAGCTTGGAGCACCCTTCCCTTCCCTTTGTATTGCAAGGGAAAGACCTGCATCAACCTTTCCATAGCTTTAAATAGTTGCATAAGTGCTGTGAACAGTCCTGCTGCAGATGCCCCTTGTGCTAATTTGCAGGCAGGTGCCCTTGTAGCCAAGAGGAGGTACCTCAAGAAGCACCCAAGGGGCTGTGAGTGCCAGCCTCTCACTGGTGTTGCCAGAGCTAGAAGTTCATGGGATTGTGAAAGCAAAGGAGTAAATGAGTGGTCAGAGTCACACCCTGCCCATGCTGCTTTTGAGGGATTATATGCAGCTAGTTAGTCCCAGTTTTCTAAAGCCCCAAAAGGAGACAGATTTTGCTTCTCTTAGCTCTTTCATGTGCTCAGGGCTCATCCTGCAGCTGGGAAGAAGCTGCATCTTCAGTGCAGCTTGCACAAGGAACCAACTAGCTGGAGGTTACAAGAACATAATATACAGGTGGCTCCAGGACCAGGCCTGTGATCTTAGCTTTTAAAGTTGTTTTTTACCTGCTGTGTAAGTAAGCAGCAATATTTTTCTACAAACTGAAAGATACTTTCCCTTACATGTGAACTGTTTGCAATAGAATTTAGCCCACTCCTTTGCCTTTTCCTCATGTCTTGAATCTTAATTTCTGAGTCACTGCTCCATCAAGTGGATGAAAGGATTTTTATGTTCATGCTGAAACTGAAAACAGGAAAAGCCCTACAAGAGCTCCAGTTAAGTGTGAGAGCTTCAGCTTGTGTCAGGCTGAGTGCCAGTTCTGAGCTTCTAGCTACGCTCACTTAAGAGCACAGGCAGGTGAAGGAAGGGTGAGCCTATCCTCCTAGGCCCAGCCTCCTTGGCTAGCTGAGTGGTCTTACAGGGAACAACTACCCAAGCATTTGTGGACTTTTGTGAACAGCATTCACACCTTGGTCATTTTTATTTCAGAGACCAGCCCATCTGTAACTAACTGGTGCATTTACAAGACTGAAATGATCCCTGAAAGAAGCTGGGAGAGGTGAGGATGCCACAAGGATGCCACTCCCCCTACCATGCAGAAAACCTGCTCTAAAAACACCTACTCTTGCAAACCCTTATTACAAATGAGGCTCAGACAGGGTATAGACCCCAGAAGAAAACTCAGCAAGTTTCTTGCTACACCTAAGATCACCAATAATCAAGCCCAAATAGAGTATTAACAGGGCACCTGAAGTAAAGAGAGATTACTTAAATCCCATCCAACAAACCCCATTTCTGCTGAGCCTCTAGCTGAAGAGCCCAACCCACCGGCTAGCAGTTAAACACATGGAAGGTGTTTAATGGGGTTTCTGGAAGAATTCCAAGTTCAAACTTGAAGAAAATGTCATGATTGCTGCATACAGGGCTTCCCAAGACATTCAATAACAAGATGATAAATTATCAGACCTATGTAATCATGCAAAATATTAGGATTCTTTATTCAATATTTAAGTTATTCTGAATGTACAATTGGACAGAATTATAAAGTGAACGTTACCAGTATTTGTACTTATGTGATTTACCGCCATAACACATATGCTGGTTAATATTTTCTGCATGCTCTTGAAATTCTGCATGCTCAAAGTGATGTTTTGCTTAGTCTTACAGGTAAGAATAGACAAGTATTTCACTCCAAACAGAAGCAGGAAAGTTAGTTACCCTTATTAGCATGATCTGCACTGTGATCTGTACAGAGCTCCAAGAGTTGTATACACACACCCATTCCCTAACACTGCACTGTAATGTGCCCTTCCCCCAGGAAAAGCAGCTGCTATTTCACCTCCTTATTAGCTCAGATACGTGAAATAAGTGACAGTGCTTAGACAAACTCATGCAAAAAGCTTGTCACACGAATGTTCAGCTAAAATACCTGAAGAGAGGTGGAAGAATATGATCTATGAAGCAACAGTATCTTAAGGGAAATGATAAACACTGCTCATCTTTCTTTCTGGGCATTTGGCAATTTAATGAACATGATTAGATGTAGTTTTGCCTTATTGTCTTAATACTGCAGTTCCCTTCAGCTCAGTTTGTCAGAACTTGGGCAACTGCTTGAAAAACCACTTTATTTTCTAGTTACCTGTTGACACCCAAAAATTGTAGGAATGATACTTCTTTGAGGCTGGAGTATTTCTAGGTATCCACTTTCCATAGACTGTGGAACAGAAAAGCATTTTTTGCAGTCACTTTCTTGTCAATCTAAGGGTAATACTTCCAGGTTTCACAGGTACTGTTTTTCTCAAACTTCTTTGGCATTTATGAAAAGTCCAATACTTTGAAGGTAGTTGCTGGCATCACCCTGGTGCAATACATTTTTTTTTTTTTGCTTCTGAATCAGCTCCCATTTAATTTAGGAAAAAGACTCTGGCAAGCCATCTCCCTTTCATGTTTGGGGTGTTTTTCTGTTTGTGGTTTTGTGAGGGGGAAGAGAGAGAGGGTTCAAGAACAGTCTGGATATCTGTCATCTTTTCGTATCATCTGATGCCATTTCTTCTTACCACAATAGTTCCTGCTACGATATCGTAGGCTGTTCTGTTATGCTGAAAAAACAGCAGTGTAATAAATGCAGGGAAAAATGAAGCAATAGAAAAATTCTTGATCAGAGCTCGTATGGTAGACCTGCAGAATGAGAATGAAATAGTCGGTGCCTTGTTTTCACTTCCCTGCTTAGAGCAGTAGTCACTTTGCCTTCAGTTTAGTGCCTCAGTTTTGCACAGCGCAAAGTCAGTCACAGGAATTTAAGAGGAGATATTTTAATACCTAATGTGGACAATACCCGTATGATTAAATTAGTATTTTATTCTTAGATCACAGAATGGCAAAGCCCAACAAAAACATGAAGGTGTCTTTCCCTTCAAAGCATGTGCTTTCCATACTGTTAACGTGAGCTAAGAGCACTTACGTTGTCATACTAACGTTGGAGGAAGGAATCACCAACACACGACTTGGTGCAATAAGAACAGAGGTATCACAGGTCACAACTCGCAGCCCAAGCAAGAACTTCCCTGGGGTTGCTCCACCTGCTCCCCAAATACAGATAATCTGTAAAAAGAAAAGCTCTTTGAGTTCTACAACAAACTGCTGTTGACTGGTCTAGCAAATTTGGTTTTCAAACTGTCATACAACTTCAAGTGAACCAAAACATAGTAAAACTACTTTATAGACCAATGATAAGCGGAAATTTAAATGTTTACTCAGTAGCTGACAATTATTAATTTTAGAAGTTAATGTTTATGACTAGTTACCTCATAGAAGCAGACTAACAATCTGTAGATAAGAGCTACTATCATCATTTTCTGAAGATCCTCCATGGATGTATCTTCATCTATTTCTTCTATTATGTAATGCATAGCAAATTTAGAGATGTCCCTGTGCAAAATAAGACCGAGCTTTAAAATTAAAATTTATTTGACCCTTGTCATAATACTGATGTTACTCTTTTAGTACTAGAATCCAATCCTTTAATTAATTTATTATAGTATAAATTAATAAACAAAAAAACCCTTGACTTAATACTTAGCATTAAGTATTAACAATTAAGTCATTAACGGTGCTGGATTTCATTCCAGGTTCTTGCACAGTTTGTTTAGTCTTTCTCAATAATGAGTAATTCTATATAGCCACTTGGGCAATATGACAGGACAAGGTAGAGAACTGCAGAACTCTTTGAAAAATTTCTACGATTCTTGGGAAGAGACACAGGAGATTCTGTGTGTGATCATGTAACTCGGTATAAATGTAGTGCATGGTAATGCAAGTGAGAGAAAAGAAGAAAGGGAAAGGCTCTTCTCTCCTAATGCCACACAAAGAAGGGAAGACTTTTTCCTCCTTCGTGTGATCGGGACTCTGCACTTTCAAATAGCGCTCCACAAGATGATGAAATGAGGAAATAAATATCCTCCTGGAAATTAATTCCAAAAAAGACTCCTTCTCTTTCACCTCACCCTCCCTACTTCACAGAAGCAACACAGAGTTGCTCCCATCTTTCCGTTGCTTCAGTATGAATCCTTTTCAGGTGACTGACAACAAGAGAGAGGCACTGTCACGCTGCACTCACACATGCTGCCCAGGCCCTCAGCATTTTAACTGCATGTTTATTTGAACAACAAAGACTGATAACTTGCATCAGCATATTTATTATTTTGGACTTAGCCCTATTCCAGACACCTTTCAGTCTGAGAGACCTTATCTCAACATACCACTTTGCATTTGGAAGGCTCTCTTAGTGGAAAATTTGGCTTCTGGAATATAATTGTACAGTAATGGAATCTCCTGATCAGACAAAAAAATACATGGTTACACCAATCCAAAGCACAAGAACTAAACTAGCTAGCAGGTAAGACATCTGCAGGTAAAGAAACTGATAAAAAGGAAACAGTCCTCGAGGTGAGTGATCACATCAGAGGAAAAAATGTGAACTGGAAGCTGCTCCAGCATAATGTACTTGATGCAGATACATACTTCATTCTACTTGTTCAAGAATCCACCTTAAGCCAGTAAAGACTACAGCACGATAGCACTACTAGCAATCAAGCTGTATTTTAAACTATATACATATTTTACATGTAGGATCTGAATTTTTAAAGACTTTTAAAAATAAGTTCATTTAATAATTGATTTTTCTTTGAGATTTTAAAATGATTTTTAAAATTTTGGCAATAGCATCAAAAAAATAAGATTGCAAATCTAATCAATTCTTAATAAGGAGTTTGTGAGCCTATGAAAAGTTCTTTGTTCCCATCAAAAGAACCGAAATCAGAAAGTATTTTACAAGAGCATAAACAAGCGGTACTTTTTTCCGTATATCTTTGACAGATAATGAAGTACCATCATACACTTAATCATATCATATAGACCATAATCAAGACTTGAAAGAAACAAAGCTGTATATAATAATGATTTAAACTGGTCAACTTACTTTATTCCACTGAGGTGCATGATGCCTAAAACAATGGCTGCCTTTATAAAGAACAGAATAAAAAAATCCACCATCTCTGCTACAAATCTGTGTGCCAACGAAGGAATAACAAACTCCCGACCTGCAACAGGAATAACTGAGATTATCCTAGGTTCTACTGAGTTAAAATGAAGTTAACACTGTGCTCTAAGAGACATTTCCCATTAATGCCACTGCAAGGAAAATTCTAAGATCTTCATCCCAACCCAAATCTTTTTCAATAAAATCCTCTTAAAAAAAAAAAAAAGTGATTATGATCCCAAACAGAAATGAAAATCGCAAGCAAAAGCCACCCCTTTAAAAGAAGTACACTGAAGATGCTCTTATTTTTGCAATCTTCTGTTTGCAACAGCTTCCTGCAGAAGATTTCATCAAATCTGAAAGCATGGATGAAAGGAAGATTCACTTAACTCCCTAATTCTATCACATCCTTTATTCCCCTCTGCAACTAGATTTCAAAATGTACCAAACATGAGCTCTCCAAGTAAGATGCAGCCTCCTTGATGGCTCAAATCATCAAACCATGAGCCAAAGCAGATTAAAGTTATCAGCCACATTTAAGGCTCTAACTAACTGGTACATGGAATCCCACTCCCCTGGATGAGAGTTCCAGGAGCTTCCTGCTGTGCTTGCTCAGAACACGCAGTTTGTAACCACAGGCACTTGGGGGACATGGGTGCCGCCAGCTTTACAAGCAGCAGGGAGGCAGTGTCAGAGCTGGGAGCTCTCTTCCTGGCTGCTTCTTTCTCTAGGCTTCACTTCTCCAAAGCTCCATCTTTTTTTCACAGAGAAAGGGGATGAGAGAAAAGAATATTCCCATGTAATTGTATCTGTGCTACAGGATGTACCGCTGCAACTCCACTGTTAGAACAGATTAAAATATTAGATATATTTGAAGTAAACATTCTTGTAGAGTGCTTATTAGGGCAAAACACAGCCCACTTTTTCACAGAAGAATTTCACCTGGGCCCATTTGCCCTTCAGTATTTCCCCGAACAGCACAAACCAACAACCTGCCACATGAAACGAGCAAAGGTTTTCAGCAGAATTCAGTTAAAAACACCTATTACTACATGCAACTTCCAGGAATGAGCATCCAGGTCTGTCAAGTGTTTCTTGTGCCTCTGATCTGGCCACACACACAGGGAAAGGACAAAAGAAAGCAAAAAGACTCTATCTCAATAAAAACACCAAGCTTTCCTTAGAAGAAGCTTCCACAACTCAGCTGGCAGGACTGATATTCCCAGGCCTGACCTCACAGGCTGTTCAGGGGGAGCTGACAGCCCCTGGCACTTCTGCCCTTTTAAGAAAGAAGGCTGCAAGTTTAACTGGGCAGTGATCAAGAGCAATTTCTTATTTAATGCAGCTCACTTTACATGTTTATTTCATACCTGTTTCACTGACAGCTCTATGTCAATACTTCTGAAGAGTGTGACTGTTACGTAAATAATACTTAGGTGGATTCAAGTCTGATTGTCAACAAGTTGTCAGCAAAGCTCTAATTAAAGATGCTTTATAACTGAGACAGGAGGGAACAGAGCCAATCTCCCCAGCAAGCTACACGCTCCTAGAGCACTGGAGAACACGGAGACTATGAATTCTTTAAGATGAGCATGTTCACTGAAGTTAGTGGCACCAGGTTTTGGCTGAATATACAGTTATTGCTTCAGTCGAGCATAAGGAAAAAGGTAACCGTTTGGGCCATGAAAATCAGCATACGAGTTATTTTAAACTCCACCATATTAAGCAACTTCCACAAGCCATCAACTCTGGCAGATTTATGTTGCTATGATCTAAGATTATGTCTGGCATCAGAAATGCACTGTTTTGTCAGGAGTTGCTATCAGTATGGGAAGGACAGCTAAATGAAATACGCCTCAAAGTCTTACATGAAACTAGTAATAAAGGATGGGTTTGTTAGCCAGGGGTTTAACACAACTCTTTTGCTGCTATTCTCACAATAAAAGTAGTAATCTCCCACATTAAAGCTGAGAGGAGAAATCAAAAGGGGTGAGGAGAGGAAACATCTTGAATTCTGATGACTAAAATCTATCAAAAGCCTGGTAGTGTCCAGAGAGCTACTTACACTGCTGCTCTGACATATCTGCAGGCAGACTGAACAGGATGTCTTTATCAAGACATCCTTGATAAAGGTCTGCAACATTACACTGTCTCTTGGTTCAATTTACATGCACGCAGGCAGCAAACCACAGGGGTTTAGTGACGAGTAGACGTCCCATCCTGCCAGTGCTGCTGAGGGAGCTGTAATCTGCAGCAGAGAGGAAATAGCTGTAATCGCTTTAGCTGCTCCAGATAAATCCATACGCAACTGGGAGCAAAAGCACTGGAACAACAGTGCTTGTTTATAGCTCTGTCACTTCACTGTATCACACAAGGAATCCTCTTTGGACATTTGGGTGCTGTGATAGTATTTAACATTCATAACAGCCACATTCATGCTGACTTCACATTCAGCAGAATGGAGCATTATTCATGCCCTAAATTACCTTCAGCATAAGGCATTAGTTCCTGAAGAACTAGGTAAAAGTCCAAGAGTTATTCCGGACTAGACTGGATCCACACTATCTTTTCCGATGATCTGCAATACCTGGTCACAAGCAATGTATAAATCAAGGCTTATTTAAAAGAAATACTACTTTGTTTTACAACCACCATGAAACAACATCTGCTCAAACCCACAACAAAGCAGCAAGTTTGAGAGCTGGATTCTCTGTCAAAATAAGGAACAAGCCTCCCCTGATACTCAGTCACCGACTGCGCTCAGGAATAGTGTTACAGGTCATCAACACAGCACTTTGCCCTAGAGAAAGCAAGGGCATGTGGCTTTTCTCCAAGCCCTTCAGCAGCATGTTGCTGTTACTGGAAGTACCACCGCACACCCATGGCTCACGAAGCCTGCATTCCAGCTTTGCCTTCCCATGCCGCCAGAGAGAAAGCTTGCTTGACTTCAGAGCAAACATATGCAGAAGCCCAGTTATTCCCCTGCTAAGCCCCTCAGAGCCATAGCTGATCTGAAGAAAGAAAATGTCACGTTCACTGAAACACTCAGCGAACGCGAAAGTAACAAGTTATAAATACAAGGCTTCGGCCTCGGCCTCGGCCGCCA